GTAATCCAATCTAATTTTGAAATTAAAAAGAAAAAATAAGTAACCCTGAATAGTAAATATATATTTATAGTATTCATAAACTGTAAGGTGGCTTGCAACATTCAAACACAACTTATTACACTATCCAATAGTTCAAATAAGAGTTATAACTGAAGAAAGTCCCATGGCCTGTGATAAACAAGAGATCGAATTGGAACACATTATCCCATTCCTCCTGACTCTATAAACCACTAACCTAGTGCCCAGATTCTTACCTGCATTCAAGTTTAAATGCATTTTGTTCCAAATAAATAGGAAGTGCCCATGTAAAGCTCTGTCTATTTAAAATTGCAAAACAAATGAAATCACATGGTTTACCCTATTAAGCAGGGAATCAAATATTAATACCTCATGCACTAGTCTATTCAAGTGATATGAAAGCCAAATTTTTTACCCTTTGGACTGTTCTCAAGCTGCAATGAGTACTTGAGGAAAACAATATCTGGCCATAATTGCATAGAAGTCAACTCTACTTAATTAAGATAGCACGATCACAACATTTAAACCTGATTGTTTTAAGAAGACAACTGGCAGAAAAAGATTAGAGATGAAAGTCAGACACTGTAGCTTTAAGTACAACAAGAAGAGAGTATAAGTTTACCTTTTCAAAGCATTATCTAGGCTGAAGTCTTCTTGCATCAAATTGTTATTGTTAACTAAAAAAAAAAAAAAATCACACTTCCAAATTCAGGCTTCTGGATTAGACACCGATTTATAAACTCACTAGACTGCACTGGAGTTAATATGGGAAACGCTATATATTAACCAAAGATGGTTTTAGCTTAGTTTCCTTTAGTAACAATGCTTATGTGACCAGTCAGTGCATACAAGATGCATGCCCAAGAATTTCTGAATCTTTTACACAATTGCAGCCAAGTTCAAATGCAGAAATCTCAAAGATAATTATGTTCTTAAATAAAAGCAGACAGCCAAGAAGGAGAGACCAGGATTTGAACAGTTGCAGCTTCACCCTCAGCTTTCGAATGTCTGTTTTCCACAACTGAACAAAACAAACCTTCAGCTGCCACCAAAACTCAATCCAAAATAGTTGTTTTGTAGCGATTAGCAAAGAGGAACAGAAAAATCTTAGCATAGCTTGTTTAAAAATTCAGTCATAGCTAATCAAGACAAATCTGTCGGATACAAAGCTTTATTAGCTCTGCTACTCAGTTACTTGTTTAAATAACCTACTACAGCAGAAAGTCTTAAACTGAGAAGTACTGTAAATAACTGTCTGAAATTCTTTATCTACTGAGTAATGGTATTTGATCAGAAACATCTTACTGTTAACGCAGCCAGTAAGCAAGCACCAAAGTCATAACATGATCCCCTACCCTCAAATCCATTACTGGAAGATGAGGAAGCTACTCTCTACTCTAATTTCACAATTTTTAAATGACAAAACTTTTCTCAGATAGAGGATACCTCTTAACATTAATCCGAGTCTCAGTTACTGAAAAAGAAAGCAGGAAACATGAAATGTGAGAAGTCAGCCCTTTGCAGGTTAGATCACTCTTTAGGACCCTCGCAAACAGAGCATAGAAGCCAGTGACACCAGAAGTTCAGTGAAGAGCCACTTTTAACCCAAAAGAGAAGTACTTTTTTCACTAGGAACCATTCTTCAGTCATAACCAAAAAAAATCTATACTGTGACTGCCTTAAAGAAATAGGAGACCCAAAGTTTCAGAGACCTGAATCAATCCTGAAGAGAAGGAAAAGTTTTCTTTTGAAAAATTAGAATGAGAGCACTAAAAGATTGGGTGAGACCTAGCTTTCTGCAAGAATGAGAAACAAAGTCTATTTTTCTAAAACCTGTTCCAAATTGTAAGAAAGGGAACAGCTTCCCTACAATTTCTTGAATAAATCCTGAAATTGATAGGGAAACAAACTTAATTTCTAGGAGATTGCTTTTGCTAGCAGCTGTAAAGCAGTGAATTATTCAGAGACAACATATCAACACTGAATAAGAGGCAGACCTCTGAACAGATGGAACATGAAAGCCAAAACAAAAAGCAATCAGATCCAAATAGCTAGCCAATATGCCAGAGTGATTGCTTAGACAGATATTAGTGTTTCTTCATTTTGGTTCCAGATAAAGTCACATTATATCACAGAATCGTTTAGGTTCGAAGGGACCTCTGGAGATCATCTAGTCCAACCTCCCTGCTCAAGCAGGGTCACCTAGAGCATATTGCCCAGGATCACATCCAGACGGGTTTTGAATATCTCCAGGGAAGGAGACTCCACTACCTCTCTGGGCAACCTGTTCCAATGCTCTGTCACCCTCACAGTGAAGAA